GTCCTGCCCCAGTGTGGGAGCACCTTCTATAACCACCCGGTCACTCCTAGAGGAAGAAAAATCGGTCCAGTTAGGGTCCTCTAAGTATCTTTTCAACTCTAGCTTGAGGTGGTTTCTTATGGCTTGTTACTTAACTGGTTCTCTGTTCTGTTTGAGTCAGCCGTAGGAGAATTAGGAGGAAGGAATGGGGACACATCATGCAGGTCAGAGATACTGAGCACGGGCCAGAGCCCAGATGGCAGTGCTGGCTGGAGAGGCCCTCAGGGCAGTGGTGTGGCAGAAGCCCCCAGGTAGGGCTTAGAACAGCTGGACTAATGGCTGGCAAAAATAAAAAATAAAAGAGATGTGCAAACATCCATAAAAAGGTAACCTGCTGATTTAGATTATTTATTTCATTGCTCTCAAAGTGCTAGGCGATGGCTCCGCTGTCTTTTAACTCAAGAGCTGTGATGCCCCCTTTTCCATGTGTCCCTCTGAGGATGGTCATTTACAGGACTAGCAGTGGTCTAGTCATCAGCGTTCAGACAATTAACGAAGCCCCAGAACAAATCTTCATTCCGTGAGGATTTCTCGAGGCAGCCTCAGCTCAGGCTTATACTGTGGCTTTTTAATCACATTGAGCCAAAAAGCTGTTATGTTCAGAGCATTCTGTATTCTAAGCTAAGTCGTCTTGCATTCAGTGGTAGTTGCTTTATGAATGTAAATTTTGTTCAAAAAACCTTTCTATGGCTTTTAACTGAAGACTTAAATATAAATCAGTGATAGAAATTACTTCTTTTGTCCTGTTACTGTAGAAATGTCCCTCCCTCTCCCTTTTGACCACACTGCCCTAACCCCCACCCCAATTCCTCATCCCCAGCCTGGACCCCCACTTCTCACGTAAGGGAGATCTGGCCAGATGGGGAAACAAAACCTCTCCACAGCCACCACCAGTGCGCTCCCTGCCAGCCTCTGCATCCTGCCCCTGGGGTCCCCTGGGGAGCTGTGTCGGCTTCCTCTTCCTGTGCCCACAGGGCTGTCCACCTCAGAATGAGGGTTCTCCTCCCTCCCAGCCTGCTTCTAATCAATGGAATCCCCTTCAGCCCAGCTCTGGGCTAGCAGCAGTCTTCCTGGGAAGAAAGAGAAGGGGCCGGTTCATCCATTCTTGCCACACGTTTGGCCTGAGCCTGCTGTGTGCTCTCACAGAGCATGCGTGGTGGTGGATCATGAGAAGAGGCCTTCGGACTGTCCACGTGTCCTCCCGGCCTCCCGCCTCCTCCCTGCCTTGCCCTGTCCCCTCCAGTGCCCTCAGCCCCTTCCTTCTTGGCCCTGATCTTCACGTCCTGGCCCCAGTACGTCACTACCCGATACTAGGTGCTTTTTTCCTTTTTAACATTTTCTTTCCAATGCTCTGTTAATCTGTGTGTACAGGTGCTTTCGTTGTTAAAATAAAAATAACAAAGCAACACTTCTAATCTTTGCTAAAGGTTTATCTAGTTTGAGTACTATTTTATAATTCTTCACAGTGAAGTGATTTTTATAACTCTCGTCCATTTTCATGAGGTTTGCCTTACATTATTGTCTTTAATGCCAGTAACATATCTTTCTTGTTGAAGATGATCTCCAAACAGAGCAGGCCGTTGGAATGGGAAAGGGGATTCTCCTCACCTGGCATCACGACCCCAACATGACTTGTGACTATGTCATTAAGTGGTGTAACTCATCTCGGTCTGAACCATGCCTTATGGACTGGAGAAAAGTTCCTTCAAATAGCACTGAAGCTCTCATACAATCTGGTAAGACGGATTTGTGTCTCTCAGTTAAGGTTCTGAAAAAATATTCTTAAAAAGCAACATGCATGGGACCGGGTGCAGTGAAGTGATCATTTTCCTCTACCACCGGGCGGCTGTGAGTGGGTTTAACATTCCTGGAAGGTGGTTTGTGGCAGTATGTAATGAAGGGGTTCAAACCCTTTGATCTAGTGATTACTTGTCTGGAAATTTATTCTAAGAAATAATCAGAGAACAACACTGATTTACACCTAAGAATGTTCACCACAACATTATTCATAATTGTGAAAAATTTAAAACAACCCAAATAGCAAATAAAGGAATGAGTACATAATGGTATATCTGTAAAATGGAAAGTTTAGTAGCATTAAAAATTATGCCAAAGATTTAAAACAAAATGGGGAAATACTCATGAAAAAAGAAGATTCCAAAATTATAAGCAGTGTGGTCTCAGTTGTGTGTCTTTGTCGTTGTTTGCCCTGGGCTGGGGCTGGGGAGAAACTGAGCACAGAGGGCTGGACCCATCCTCAGTCTCCTGCTGTAGGGCGGGGGCACAGGTGTGGGTGTGGACACAGTGGGGCTTGTGCTCCGTGCCTGCTGCTGAGCCGGTGGGCCGTGAGCGAGCTGCCCTTGCCCTGGCGCAGCCTGAGAAGCTTTAGCCACAGGCATATTTGGTCACCTACGGGCTGAAACAGCCATGTCCTTTGGAATCAGCCCCCTTTCCAGCTACTCCTTCCTTCTGAGTAGCTGATGAGGGTGTGTCATGCCTGTCCCCATGGGATTTCTGGAACCTGTCGCCTGTGATGCTTCTTGCGTCCTTTCCCTCTGCTGGCTGTCCCTCACATGTTAGCACAGGGAGCAAGCAGCCTGCGCGCTAAGTCTCTCCTAGGGAGCACTTTCTGCGAGTTCACTGTTTCACTGTCAGCGGTGAGGATGAGTCCTGTTCACTAGATTATCACATGTGGATTCAGATCATTTTCCAGTTCTGCTTGGAGTAAAGCCAGACTCCTTCACATGTATAATTGGCCAAAGCAGCGATGGTCTTCCTGAATCGTATTTTTACCCTTTCTTGCAGCGTACTGCCCTTGTCGAGGTGCCCACCATATCCCGCTCTCTTTCCTGCACCCTGCCGTGAATTCCCCTCCATGGCACTGACTGAGCCCTACACAGTTCCAGTCTGTTCTTTCTCACCGAGGCTTTCGGGATAATTGGGATGGACTAGGGTAGGGTGGAGTGGATATAAAGAGAGTATCTGCTGATATTAAGTGTTAGCTGAGCCCTGTGGGATATGGAGAAGTGGGCCCCGTGATGATTGAGGCAGGAGAAGAACTTTCTGTGCCAGTGCAGATGAGCAAAGGCCTTACAGTGGTTGAGAAAACAAAGACTCAGAGAAATTAGGTAACTTGCCCAAGGTCACAAAATTGGTATGTGATAGAACTGGTGTTCAAATTCAAGGCTACTCAAAGTTTCAGGAGGCTGGGAATGTTATCTTTTATTTATTGCTGAGCTTCTAGAACATCAAGTGCCACCTCTTATTCCTTTCTCATCCCGTGGTTGTCTCTCTCTCTTACGACCTCAATACATTCCTAGTGCTCTAAACTACTGTGGCTCTTTTTTATTTTAAGGAGGCAGAGTCCTATAGATTGTTGATAATACATAATTTTAACATAAAACAAGGTACAGATTTACTGATATTTATGCACTATAAAGTCTTAACCTGAAGCATACCTTTCCACAAAGAAAAAAGTTACAAAACTAAACACAGTTGGCTGAGTTTGAGTTTCCATTAATATTTACTTAGAACTTGCCAGCACTTAGCAAACATTTAAGAAAAAATATTCCAAGAAGAAAAGTTAAAATTTAGACAAGTCTCTACAATTTTTCTTTGGATTATGTGATTTTAGAGGCTGACCATCTCACATTCGAGCCTGTAGACCACTGATGTTCTGTGGGCACATAATTAGAAAACCGGTGCTTCAACCACACTGGAATCATTGCCTTCAGCAAATTAAATGCAATCTCAAATGCTGCCATTTCCCCCCCAGCATTTCCTTCCGGGCTGGGGGCTGTTGAGCTGCTAATCGCCTTTCAAGGCCCTGTTCAGGTGTCACTAATAGTAGCTTTTTCTGATCTTTTTAGACTTATCTGGCCTTTCATTTAAGGTTCCACAGCAGCTGCTCCGTACCTCTAGTGTAACATGCTCTCACAGTTACCCCCGTTCCTCTGCCTTCCCCACCACCCCGCCAGGTCTCTGTGCGGGGACCTTGTTTTGTGCATCTCTGTGTTCCCCACATTGCACACATTTTATTGAGGAGGTGCTTAAAAGGGCCTTTTGAACTGAAGTTAAGGTGCTTCCCTGGTAGGTCTTACGGAGTTAACTCGCCAAGGACACTTCATGATGATGCTATAAAGAGGAATAGACGCTAAGGCCCGGTTCCTTTAACGCTAAAGCTTCAAGATATAGTGAACTGTTAGTTCTGCTTCTTGGAGCAAAGGAAGAGAGTGGTGGTTTTTTTCCAACCCAGCAATAACTCTATGTAGGGAAAGGATTTATAGAGGCATTATGTAGACCTGCAATGGTTTAGTGAACTGACCCTGGATCAAATATGGGAAGAAATCATCATTGCTTGATTTTTAAGGAACAAAATGTAAGCATTGATCACTTTTTTCCTTTGTAAGGAGATGCCATCTTATAAATGATACTGAACTTTTCATTACAATAGAAGTGAATTTGTTTAATTTTTGTTTAGTCATTTTCTACTCTATTTACCAATTTTGAAAATACAAACATTTTTTATAAGAAAACATTTGTTTAAATTTAGCTTTGGAAATTTCAGAATGTTATTTTAAATTTGATATTTCTAAACTAGATATTCATATTAATATATATTTATGAAAATTTACTGATTGTGTTCATCCTATAGATCAGTTTCGACCAGGTGTAAGATATAATTTTTTCCTGTATGGGTGCAGAAATCAAGGATATCAATTATTACGTTCCATAATTGGATATATAGAAGAATTGGGTAAGTTAAATGGATAAGTTGTTTTTAGACTTAGAGGTAACATGAAAAATTATAAATCAGCAGCAATAGTAAGAATGAATTCTAAAAATAGATTGAATTAGATATTTAGTTCAAGGAAGGTAAAATAATTTATATGATAAATTTAAAATCATTTGATTACTTATTCTTAACCCATTTGTTTAAGGGAAAATATTCCAAGAGGAAAAGTTAAAATTTAAATAAATCTTACCAATTTTTCTTTGTATTGTATGATTTTTTTAGAGGCTGACCATCTCATGTTGGCGCCTATAGACCACTGGTGGTGTGTGGGCACATAATTGGAGAACTAAAGCTTTAACCACACTACAGTGAAATTCACAGTTTTACTGTTGTCATCAAGAAAATTAAATCTTAACTTGGATGTCAAAAATAATTTGCACTTATACAAGTTTAAAAAACAATTATTCAGGACTATCAATAAAGAAGGGAAATACTAATGAAGTCTATTTGAGTAGCCACTTAAAGATTTTGCATGGGTTACTTCCCTAGATACGTGTTTTGTCTAAAAGTGATATTGTAAGTTCTACCTTTCTGCCTAAAAATATTTTTTTCCATATGGTTATTAGTATATAAGCTTCACTATGAAAGTGTTTGTGGTAATATCTCTGAAAGTTCATGATTAAATAGAGAATAAAGTTTCAATTCCAGGTTTAGTTATTTTGGAGGCTAGAAATCTGATGAAATGTTACTGTCTTACTTTGTGTTAGTAAACCCTTCTTTAGCAATTGACTTTTTCCTTTTACAGCTCCAATTGTTGCACCAAATTTTACTGTCGAGGATACTTCTGCAGATTCGATATTAGTAAAATGGGAAGATATTCCTGTGGAAGAGCTTAGAGGCTTTTTAAGAGGATATTTATTTTACTTTGAAAAGGGAGAAAGAGACACATCCAAGATGAGGGATTTGGAATCAGGTAAGTATAATAAATTACTAGCGTGGGTATAGTGTGCTTCTTAGCAGTTTCTCATTATCCACAAAAGGAAGAGGAAGAAAGAAAAGGAAATAAAGTACTGCTCAATAGTTTAATGCTAGTTTCTAAAACTGTTTGAAAAATGGGGAAATGAAAATGCAGTCATTTCACAAATATTTTAGTTTTAAGATTTTAGTATGTAATAAATGACATGTAGTCTTTCAGAAATCATTTAAATAATTTATTCTGAAACCTTTGATTATAAACCCCAGAGGACAGAGACCATCTCTTATTATAGCCTTGCATGATCCATAGCATAGCATCTCATGAAGTTTACTTTAGAAAAAAAAATGAGTCATCTTTTACTTATAGTAATGGAGGGAGAGAAACTCAGGAATCCAAATAATGGCTTCGGATTCTCAGTTGTCACTTGCCCAAGAGCCATTAGCCCATTAGCATCATCCTTGGCTGTGGCCTTAATAAGCCGGGAAACTTAATTGACTTGATTGGGAACGTGTGTTTCCATTAAACCTTGAAAAATACAGACAATCCTCGACAATCGGTAAGTGTATGCCCAGAGACTTTAGACATACAATTTTGTATTTGTAGCTTTACAAATACAAAATAGTTTATACAAATTTCTGGCTTTTCCTTAAATTATATTTGTCGGGAGTCAGATGTTTCTTACTCATAGCCACAAACATATCCTTTTTCAATTTGAGAGCTCTCATTTCCCTGGATGACCTCTCCTTGGAAAGAAGTCATTTTAATTATTTAATGCCTGTCTGACAAGCGGAGAACAACAACTCGGCATTGAGATGCTGACTGGGCATTATCTGCGTCACTCCCCAGAGCAGCTGCTTTCAGTGTGCGCCTCCCCCCAGCTCACTGAGTTCTGTATTTCCTGAAACTTGGGTTGCCTGTGGATGAGGGAAATCCTAAATATCAAATTCTGCAAACATCAGCATCTATTTAATAGTACAGCTTTCCTCAAATGCTTGGAAATTTTACACTTGAACCAATTAAAATTCTAGCATCTGGATTTCCAGTTGCTAGATCAGTTGCTAACCCTCAGAAAGCCACAAGGAGAAAGGGAATGGAAGAGGCAAGATAACACCAAAAAAGAAGACTCAGAAATTCGGGGGTAGAAGTGGGACAAATGACTTAGAAGAGTAGAGGGTGATGAAATCTAAGTCAGGTCTCATGGAGAAGTGACTGGATTCATCCTGCCAAACCGGGCAATGGAGGCCGATGGTTAGGATGAATCTGGGCTGAGTAGGGGAGGTTGAATGAAGAGAATTTCTCGGAACTGAAGGACCTGAGTACAAGTAGTCCCCCCCATGCACAGTTTCACCTTCTACGGTTTCAGTTACCCGTGGTCAACAGCAATCCAAAAATAGGTCAGTACAGTATATTAAGATATTTTGAGCAAGAGGGAGACCACATTCACTTAACTTTTATTGTAGTATATTGTTATAATTGTTATATTTTTAAATTGGTGTTAATCTCTTACCGTGCCTAATTTATAAATTAAACTTTATCATAGGTATGTGTGTGTAGGAAAAAAACATCGTATATATAGGGTTTGGTACTAATTGTGGTTTCAGGCATCCACTGGGGGTCTTGGAGTGTTTCCCCCGAGGATAAGGGAGGAGGATTGCACATAGAGTAAAAGGATTCATTAAGTACACGTAAAATAAATAGAGAAAAGATGTAGCCAAAGTATGTCATCATGGATTTTCAGAGCACATAATAGATAAAGAAAAAAACCCTAGAAACAATCAGAGAAAAACAGGTCATGTGCAAGCACTCAGGAGTAAGAATGGCCTCAGACGTCCTGGCAACACTAGATACTAGAAGGTACCACAGCAGTGTCTTCAAAGACTGCGTGAAAATTACTTTCAATCTAACATTCTATACTCGGGCATCAGTCGACAATATGAGAGGAGAATGAAGACATTTTTAGACATGCGGGGCTACAAGTATTTACTTCCCCCGCGTCGTTTTTCTCAGGGAGCAAGTAGAAGAGGAAAGGAAGTAAGGAAGCCCAGGAAGCAGCAGAGGAGAGAGGGCAGGCAGTCCCGGGAGGGAGGGCTGGGGGACGGAGAAGGTGATGTGGGACTGGGATTTTATGTGTTTGACCATGTGGAAAATTGTGTTGAATCTTGATTGTAGGATGTAGGAAGAATTAGGAATTGGTATATAGAAAATAAAGCAAATGAGGATAAAAGGCAATTAAAACACTGGAAAACAAGAAGGGAAACATCATACCAAACGATTTGTCTTAGCAGTAACTCATTATGTGAATTCACCAAATGTTCCAGTGTTGCTAGATGAATGACGTTGTGGAGAGGGCAGCAGGCCGGTAAAGGAGCTCAGTTTTCATCCGCCCTTACAGGACATGAGTTGATAAGGTCTAAAAGTTCAAAGTAAAGAGCAGCTGTCCAAGTTTGTCATTTTGGAGTATGGAGGCAAATACCCAAAGAAACTGATAATGTGGTTTTCAAGTGGCCGTGGGGGAGAGGACAGGGGCCGGTAGGGAGCTGCAGCTTTTTGTTGTTAGCCATTTAGTACTATTTGATTTTTTGAACTGTCATCTTACATTATTCTGCTTAAAATTTTTAAAAATAAAGTAATAGTTTAAACAATTCGTCACACTCTCTTTTGAAGTTTGACTCAAAGGATTTCTCATTAGTCTCTCATTTGAGGTTTCCGTAACACTGATCCTTTTCCGAGTGAGTTGAGGTCCTCTCTATTGATTTGCACTCTTGCTTCATCCGCCTCTCACTCTCCGGAAGGATCAGCACAGGGGGGTTTGGGTTGTGGTGGTTTTCATGCTCTTAGTAGCAGAAAGGAAATGACTTCCACTTGGATGTCTGCTATATTCCAGGCATTATTCTAAAGGATGTGTATGAAAATTTCGTATAGCTCTATAGCCCTGTGAGGTGAGTCGTGGTCATGATGCGATAGTGTTCTTTTTTCTTTTTTTTTTCTTTCTTAAGGAGACAAGGGTCTCTTCCTGTCAGCCAGGCTAGAGTGCAGTGGCACCATCATAGCTCACTGTAACCTTGAACTCCTGGGGCTCAGGTGATCCTCCCACCTCAGCCTCCCAAGTAGCTGGACTACAGACACATGCCACCACACCTGGCTAATTTTTTAATTATTTAATAGGTATTTTTTATAAGTGAGACATAAGGGTCTTGCTTTGTTGCCCAGGTTGGTCTTGAACTCCTGGCCTCCAGTGATCCTCCTGCTTTGTCCTCCCAAAGCGCCAGGATTGCAGGCATGAGCCACTGCACCTGGCCCATAATCTGTTTCATAGTTATGAATAGAAAAATTCAAGTTCAGAGCAGTTTAAATACAATAACAGGCCTAGATCACATAGCTGCTGACTGGCAGAGGTAGAACTTGAACGTGGCTCCGGCTCGCTCCAGAGTCCTTGGCTGGGGGTGGCTGCAGCCAGACCCACACAGAAGGGCGGTTGATGTGACAGGTGTGAGTAACCATGTGTTTAATGTGAGTTAGAGACTGGTAATGATAGTCTTCATTTGAAAAATAGGTCGTTCCGACATAAAGGTTAAGAATATTACTGACATATCGCAGAAGACACTGAGAATTGCTGATCTTCAAGGTAAAACAAGTTACCACCTGGTCTTGCGAGCCTATACAGATGGTGGGATGGGCCCAGAGAAGAGTATGTTCGTGGTGACAAAGGAAAATTGTAAGTTAAAGATTGCTGTTGAGATGCTTTTCATCCTTAAATGTATAATGTTCCTAGTCATTTTTGGTTTATGTAGGACTCCCTCCCTTTTTTTTTTTAATTTCTCGTTTTGTTGCATTTTTATGGCCGTTAGAGGGAAGTATTAAAATGCCATGAGATGACTTCATGTTTATTGTCAGTTATTTGAAGGTATTTCTAAATGAGTACCTAAGACATTAATGAATTAGGGATATGTCTGTAGTGTAGAGGTCTAAATTCATGTTGACTTTATATAATGGTCAACCAGTTTAAAGTTTTTTGCCCCAGCTATTCTGTAATTTTTAACATATCCAGGGAAAAGTAAAAGAAATATCCTTTTAAAAAAAAATTGACAAAATCTTGAAAAGAAAACAACTAATATAGGGAAGGAAATGAGGCAATGAAGACAACATGAGAAAAGTTCTTATGATTTGATTATAGAAATAATGTTTGATCTTTAGGGAATTTGTGCTGTTCATGAGTTGTTCTAAATTGTGTTTCTTTTTAGTACTTATTAGAGAGTAGTATGAGCTGGTAAAATATGTCCACGGAAAATATCTCCTCCTTTCCTACTGGGAGTTTTTAATATCCCAGGTGATATCATCAATTGAAAATTCACGTCTTTAAAAAATTTTGTACAGCACAACACTCATAAATTTGAGATGAGAGAAGAGTGACAGCCTTGAGTGCTGTCTTTCAACCAGCAAAGAACTTTAATTTAATCTCTGGCTTATCCTCTAGCCATGAGTTGGAGTCTATACACAGCTGTTGAGCTGGTTCTTTAAAGCAGTGGTTCTCAACAGAGGATGATTGTGTCATCGGGGAGTCACTTGGCACTGTCTGGTGTCACTTTTGGTTGCCTAGTGGTTGGAGGCCAGGGATGCTGCCAAGCTTCCTGCAGGGCACAGGATCCCCCCCCCCCCCCCCACCCCAGGGAAGAGCTATCTGGTTAAAATGTCAAAAGTGCCAAGATTAAGAAACCCTGCTAATACTAATTTAAGTATTAGTATAAAAATTACTACAGTACTCAAAAGTTATGTTTTAAAACTTCTTCTGGAGTGTTACATTTCTTATCCCTGGAGCAGTTAATTTTGGTTTTTTTCCTAAATAATCTATCAACCTATGCTAAAAACGGTGATTTTAATATTTGCAACATTCTCTTTTCAGCTGTGGGGTTAATTATTGCCATTCTCATCCCAGTGGCAGTGGCTGTCATTGTTGGAGTGGTAACAAGTATCCTTTGCTATCGGAAAAGAGAATGGTAATGGTACCTGTGTTTACTCTTGCTCTTTTGTTCTTAAGGGCACATTTACTTAGTTTATGTATTAAGTATATTTTTTAGTAGTAATGAGCTAGTAAAAAATTGTTTTAGTCAGAATGTTGAATTTAATATTAAGCAAGAACACAACATATTATTTAAAAGTCTTAAAGCTAATAGGGTATAAAAGTATAAATTTTTCCCTACTGTTTTCACTAATAAAGTAATAGCAGTTGTACTGAAAAAAATTTACACACATATATATATGTGGCAATAGCTATATACAAGATTAACTGTAATTTTATGATGATTTCACTTGTCCTGGTGATCTGTTTAGAAAATCTAGTCATTTACTCATTCATTCAACAAATATGAATGACGCCTTCCATGTGAAAGGGGGATATAATGGTGAACAAAAGGAGCATGGTCCTTCTAGACTTACAGCGTAGTGGGGAAGAGGGACATGGAACCACAACATCCAAAAGATACATGCTTGCAGAGGGCGCGAGGAAGGAAGGGAGCCAGGTGCTGTGAGGAGACCAGCAGGGCCACGTCTCGGGAGGTGGTCGGACAAGCCGCTCTATGGGAGAGTCCCAAAGGGTAAGGAAAGGCAAAAGAATTTTCCAGATGGAGAGAATAGCTTCTGGCTTAACCTTCTGGAGAACATGGAGGAGCTGTGTGGCTGGATGCAGCAGGGAGTGGGTGGTGTGAGGTGAGGTGCAGTGGGGCCCGCGGGGCTCGGCAGGAGAGAGAGCCCACCGTGCATGAGCTCACCTGCAGGAGCTGTCCCGGGCTGGCTGTGTGGGGCCAGTGGCTGCATTCGTGCACAGACACGTCCTCACCGGCCTTGAAAATGCCATCACTTATGACAAAGAAGAGAATGTATTCTAGCAATCCTGGCTCACAAAGTGAAGTAATAGTTGTAGAAATACAGAATAGTCTGTTTTGGTAACCATATTCTGACTACCAAAAATCACATTTTAAAAACAACTATTTCAATACCAAAAAAAAAAAGACAAAGTAAGAAGGGAGTTTAGAAGTGAGAGCACTTCAGACTCACATTAACAGAGTAATTTTTCCTGAAGGAATTTCAAATGATAAGGTTCGTTTTAATAGCAAATAAGAAAACACGATGCAACACTGCCTGAGCACATGTCATCTTTGCGTTTCGCTTTTGCTCTAGTGAATGATCACACTCAAGATCTCCCGTTTTCATCTCAGATACTCATTAAAGCACTCATAAATCCTTCCAAATAAGCCTGATGATGTATTAACTTGCTTGTTACCTAATTATTAATCTTATAATTATTAAATTTACTTAATCGTTCTTTATTTAAAGGATTAAAGAAACCTTCTACCCTGATATTCCAAATCCAGAAAATTGTAAAGCATTACAGTTTCAAAAGAGTGTCTGTGAGGTAATCTTTTATTCTCTTTATATTTATCTTTGAAGTTCTGGCTTCTTTTTTCATCTTTTGTGAAAAGTTTGTAATAAGCAAATATCATCCTAAGTAAAAAGTATTGAGAAAAAGCATGCTTTAACATCTGCTAAATTTCTAAAATTCTTCATGTTAAATAGTTTATTCCAAGCTTTTTCTCCCCACTCTTAATAGCAAGGAAAATATCGATAGGGAGGAAACAAGTGGCTCTGCTCTAGTGTGTACCACAGGGGTGTAGAGGCACGTGTTTACCGCCAATGTGGGGGAAAAATAAAATTATGCCTCTTTTTGTAAGAGGAGCATTGCAGTGGCACTTAGTGCTATTCTTAATCACTGTTTTTAAATTTATTTTTAGGGAAGCGGTGCTCTTAAAACATTGGAAATGAATCCTTGTACCCCAAATAATGTTGAGGTTCTGGAAACTCGGTCAACATTTCCCAAAATAGAAGATACAGAAATAATTTCCCCAGTAGCTGAGTGTCCTGAAGATAGCTCTGATGCAGAACCTGAAAACCACGTGGTTGTGTCCTATTGCCCACCAATCATTGAGGAAGAAATACCGAACCCAGCCGGGGATGAAGCCGGAGGGACTTCGCAAGTCATTTACATCGATGTTCAGTCCATGTATCAGCCACAGGCGAAACCAGAGGAAGAACACGAAAAGGACCCTGGAGGAGGGGCAGGCTATAAGCCACAGATGCACCTCCCCATTAATGCTACTGTAGAAGACATAGCTGCAGAGGATGACTTAGATAAAACGGCGGGTTACAGACCTCAGGCAAATGTAAATACTTGGAATTTAGTATCTCCAGACTCTCCTAGATCCACAGACAGCAACAGTGAAATTGTCTCGTTTGGAAGTCCGTGCTCCATTAACTCCCGACAGTTTTTGATTCCTCCTAAAGATGAAGACTCTCCGCAATCTAATGGAGGAGGGTGGTCCTTTACAAACTTTTTTCAGAACAAACCAAACGATTAACAGTGTCACCGTGTCACTTCAGCCTGCCATCTCAATAAGCTCTTATGTTGCCGGTGCTGCTGCGTCAGCACTGGGCATTCTTGGAGGGATCCTGTGAAGTATTGTTAGTGGGGTGAACTTCACTACGTGCAAGTTACACTACAAGTGTTAATGTGCTTTTAATGTAGTCTGAAAGCCAAAGCGTGTGACTCAGAATTCTCAGTCCACACAACTCAAGATTTGGAGCTCTTTGTGATCGAGCCAAAGAATTCTCATGTGCTCTACCTTCAAGAAGCATTTCAAGGCTGATACCGACTAGTACATACATGCAAAACAAATCCTGTCACAACTGTTTTTGGTTCTGTTGTTAGTGGTTTTCTCATATGTGTTACTTCGTAGAATTGCAAGTGGATTTGCAGGCAAGGGAGACAAATGTCAAAGTAACAGATGATGGTTATTTGCCTGACATTTACTCCATTCTAGGTGAAAACCAAGCACAGATTTTAAAACTTTTAAGATTATTCTCTTCTATCCACAGCATTTACAAAAATTAATATAATTCTTAATATAGCGACAGCTATTTAGTGTTTTGTTTGATAAAGTATGCTGATTTCTGTGCCTACTGTATAATGGTTATCTCAGGGGTACAAACTTGGAAAACAAGTGTGACACTGACCCTCTTAAATCAGAATCATTTTTTCTTGCTTTACTAGGTTTTGCAAACCTTTTCATTACCTTTTGGCTTTTATGCTACCTTCCATTATTGCAGTTGGTTGCCCTAATATTTAAAATTTAAATTTCTAAAACTATAGACCCAAGTTAAAAAGAAAAAACATTTTGTGATACAATATGTCACAAGTGTCAGCTTTATATGAGCAAATTCAATATTATTCATAAGCATATAATTCCAGTGATTTACTATGTGAGATGACTACTAAGCAATATCTCGTGGCATTAGCTATCCATAGAGTTGTGATTGGCCTTAGTTCCTCCTGAGAGGACCATGCCATTGGGCCTAGTCAGGCAGGCGGTGATGATCTCTGACACATCCTCGCCAGTGTTCCTCCTACTCCTGAGTCTTACCTCTCCCTTCCTCTTGAATGATCATCATTCCAGACTATCTGATCCAGTCCTCACATTTTAAAATATAAAACTAAAGAGAGAATGCTTCTTACAGGAACAGTTACCCAAGGGCTACTTCCTAGTAAATGTCATAAATCCGTTTGAATCAGTGGGCGTAGCTGCATGGCAGGTGTAGCAACTGCTTGGTGAAAAGTGCAGGGTTGTGTCTTCAGCACAGCATCCTCTGCCCACCCTTGTTTCTTATGAGTGATTGTGGTTCTTGGGAAAGCAGAATGAAAAACTAAAAGATATCTTGTATTTTTCCTGCCCTCGGGTTGTCTGTGTATTTTGTCTTTTGTTACTTAAGACAAAAGTACCTGAAAACTGAAAATATCTGAATAAGTTAAGATATACTTGTTTTTTTAATCATCTGAGGTTCTGTAATGTATTTGAAAATAATGGATCAATTATTTTTTTCAAGTTCATATTGTATCTTTTTAAAAACCATACTGTGGAAAAAAGCCACAGAATGACAAGGACAAAATCTATTTAGATACTCTGTGTGTGAATCCTGATTTTTACCTGCTAGGATTCAACTAAATTTCTAAGCTTCATGATATTATGAATATGTGGAATGACATACAATTAATTATGTACATACATAGTGTATTAAAACTATATAATAGTTCATAGAAATTTTCAGTAATAGAAAATGTGTCAAACCAGAGCCATCCCTAAACAGTTTTCTCTTGTCTTCCTTTTTGTCCTCTTTGGCTCCTTGTCTGAGCTTCCAGGCCAGGCACTCAGACCTGGTGCTGTGTTCTCTCCCTGCCAAAGCTTGTCGTTACCATAGTCCACTCGCCCTCAAATCAGCCTGTTCCCCTGTTCCTATATTCATCTCTTTAGGACAAGGATAAGCATTGGCCAAGGTAAAATTTATTGATCTAAATGATGTTAGCCTGAAATAACAGGAAAAGTACAGAAGAGATTGATCTCTGTAATCAGTGTACTCATATGCATTTTAACTGTGACCATCTGGATCCAGTGCCCTTCCCAACCTATCCAATGACTCATTTGTTTGGCTAATAGTGAACATCACTGGGGCTCTTAAGTCCTTTCATTCTGTCCCAGACTTCACTGCTTTTCCTTCATGAAAAAGTTCAGAGTGCCACTCACCCTTCCCCTGCCTCTGGAGTTCCATGCACAAGGATCACTAGGTTAACAAGAATCAGGGTAACGCTCTGTGAGTCTGGGCAGGCTCCTTACAGCTTGCTGTATGCTTAGAAGAATGCTGTGTTTCAGGTCTTTCTTTCCTTGTCTTTCTCCATTCAGTTGAAGGTAGCCAAGCCTCTGTGCACATCCAAGGTTGCTACCTCTCAACCCCACCCCACCAGTGCATCTAGGGGGATCCTCAGCACAGGGAGCGGGGAGGGAGAGAACACCCTTTGTCACATGCCCAGTTGTTTGAGACCCTGGCACACATGTGCTGTCTGTCAGTGCAGAGACCATGACTGTGTTGTGTAAGGCGGTCTAATAGTGGTTGTGCTCTGTCCAATCAGACTGGCTGCTTCTCCCTTGAGAGGATAATTAAAGACTAGTTAGAAGGGCAAGCTGGAAGAGTTCCCTCCACCCCTTACTGACTCGAAAAATAGTTGGGAAACCTCGCTTTCCTCAGCAAAAGCCCAGCCATCAGTGAGAAAAATCTAAACGTCAAGCTAGAATTATATTCCATTATGTCGTTTGAATAGTACTTCATGTAAGACACATTTTTACCTCTCATATAAGTTAATTCACTTATAAGCCAATTTTAAATATAGCTGCCCTTGTGATGAATGGAGATCATTATAGGGGTAATTATGATTGCATTTCTTTTGTGAGTGGCCATTTTAAATAAATAATATTTAATATAGAAGTATTCTTAAAGACTTAGGCTTTTGACAGTAGATGAACCTTGTGAATTCTATATTGCATGGATTAGCACACATATGCAATCTAAGTCTCCAGTTTGTTGAACCTTTACAGGCCTGGATTTCAGATTGTGGCCCTGAGTGTCTGGATAGTTGAGTTGTGTGCTTATGTGCTTATGTGATAGAGGTGCTTTGTTCCTGCAGTTTAGAAACAGAAGCAGCCATTCATTGAAAAGTTTAAAAGAGGAAGTATCAACCTCATTTTCCAAACCAGCATTACTTTCACGGCTCATGGATCTGAAGGATTGCATTTAGAACGTCTAGTACTATCGTACTCTCAGAAACTGGTAAAAAGTCACATTCTTGAAACTTCATGCATATTGTATTCTAGTTGGAAATTAATCCTGTAATTTCTTAATTGTCTTCAGACCATCCATATTTAAAGAACATTACAAGTCCTTTTTGTATTTCAATAATTAAATGTAGTTCAGTGAAGGAGACTAGGGAATGTTTTCTTCCAAATGGAATTTGAAATCAATTTTATGGTATTTTGAAATTTAAGTACTCCTTAACATGCCAATATTCAAAAAAATGTTATCCTAAAGTTTTCTACTGCTCAGGCATATAATCTGATAAAATTCTTTGTTTATTTGCTCTAAGGTAATTTTTGCTGTTTTCTATTTTGAACTATGTTAAAATTTGTATACCTTTTATAAAATGCCCTTTTTTTCCCTGATATTGAAACTATAAAATTGGGCCTCTCAAAGTAAAATGTGGGATCATTAGATTAAAAAGTTTTAGGCACATAGTGACACTGCACTGACCAATTTCTTATTATCTGAGTCTCATCCCTGAGTCTTGTAGATGCAGCAGAATTTTCCTGAAGGGTGATGTATATCAAGGTCCAGCTTGTGTAGCTCTGAAACTCTGGCTCCTTGATTCAAATCTACTATAGAAGTGGCTCCACAATTTGAGTTAAAACTTAAGAAAGAGTCCTGCTCACCTATCATTAGATACCTTATTTTTCCATAATTTTAAATGTTCATAGTTTATTTGATGGGTACAAAACTTGGGACATGTTTGTACCAACCAGTGTGTGTTCTGGCAAACAGTGCATTGGTGTGTGAGGGTATTTGATTAATACAAGAACTCATTCTCTTGATAAACTAGCTCTTCAAAGCATAAAATTTGTGTTGAACTTTCACTTGCTGCTGAAACAAAGTGTCATTGTTGTCATGCCCCTCTTTTATATCTAGAAGAAAATTTTTCACAGAAGAAAATGATTTGTAGCCAAACTTACAGAACATTCATCTCTTAGACATAGCCTTAGAATATCATTGGAAATTACTTGGTTCGAATTTCGTTTATTTTTATCTTTCATAGGTTATATATCAGGGCTATTAATAATACTTTAACCTCTTATTTTGCTAGGGTGGTTAGATTTTTATTCCTTTTTAATTAGTGCTTTTGTTTTAATTGTTACAGGGTTATATTCATGCCAGTCATAATACAGATGAACTATTTTTAATGCCAGTATAGAGGATAAAGATCAACATTTAATTAATCGATATGTCAGGCTTTATTGTATAAGATAAAAGTTTCAGGAGGTATGAATACATCCAAATCCTTATAATTATGATATTGGGTTATGACAAGAATCTATTATTTTTAACCGTGAGAGTAGTGCTTATTTCTCCCTATATTAGGAATGTTAATAGTTTGGATTCTAGACGTCCAAGTTACAAACAGAATTTACCTATGCGAGGTAAATTCTTAACTGTGCAACATTTTTATGGAAGTTAAAAGTAGTGTTTTAAGGGGGAAACCCTCTGAATGTTTTTTTGTGTAAGTGCCTAGCTGAAGACCCATAAAAACAATAAATTCGAAAGCTCTTATAGAAGTAAAACTATAACTGAACATTAACCAAAAACAAATCATTAATAACTTACATTATTTTTTGATTGCTAGAACTAAATACTGTAAAAACAAAGAGATGTGAGTGGGAAAAAAGGTCTAATTGATAAGGAGATTGATTTTTATTACATTTATATGTCTTCTAAGATTGTCTTTACAGTAGCCAATCAGAACTTAAAAAAAAAAGCTAACACTGTAGACCTTGTGCTACACTTAAGCCTAAAATATTATGCACACCTGATTGAATGGTTCATTTAAATTACTGAATTTCCTTATGCATTTAAAATGTACTTCCCTTTAGAATTTTAAAGGGGTAACTTTCAACTTCTGAACTTACTATTTTCCTAAGCATTCCAGTGATGTATTATAAATGATCAAAATATTTCTAGGTGGTAATACAATTTTCATTAAAACATGGAAAAGTTGTTAACTGTTAGGTTTAACATTAATATTATTATTTTTGCAGTTGATTATAGAGAAGAACACTGGTTTTCATAAAAGTTATTTCATCCTCCCAGTTAGATTCCAAATACTTTCCCCCCATTATTTCGAACATACGATAAGCTAGTGTTTCCTTCTATTTAATTTTTTCCTTTCAATATTAATATTTAGGAAAAATGTGAATGGTGTTGTGAATAGTGAGAGACAGTATGCAAAAAAAGAAACTCTTCATTGTTGTGGAGGTGTAGGTGTTATGTTACAGATACCCTGGGATTTGTTTTGTCCTAATATTTTCTCCAAAAGGAGCATGACTTTTTGTTAAATACATTTCAATTCAGAATTGCTTGAAAAAGATTGGCCTGGCTAGAGAAATAGACATTCTAGGTTTGAGATAGTACTAACTTAAAGGTATATTCAAAGGTAAAATTAAATCTTTTTTAAATACTCAACTTTCCTGGTAAGAATGTTTTTACCTTTTCTTTTCTTTCATTTGCTGGCCGTAAGTCAAGATCCTTCTAACACTAGGAAATTACCATTTTTTACTTTCAAAATTGCATTATAGTGAATTACTGTTTACAAAATACACATACTGTGAACAGATATAAGTTTTTGTCTTTTATAAGGTTGTTTGTAGAGTGAGTGTTTTTTTAAAGGAGGTGTTATATGTTAAATATTTTCAGTTTTTTATAAATACTAGTAACTGTTTACTGATTTTTGTTTGGTCAAGTGCTTGTAAATGTAGCTGAAAGAAGATAGGGAGAAACTACAGATACAAAATTTCCCTTTTTCCTTTCTTGAAATGTTACCACTACAGACATTTCTTTTTTTAAATGTGAATGATCAATTGTGATGTGCTGTACCTAAAATCATGTTTAATCATATAAAGAAACATTTCAATATATCAATACAGGAAGTAAACTATAGATTGAAGTACATTTGTGTGATTCAGTCTGATTTACAGAATTATGAATTTAATATGGAATAAAATAACTCCACTGAAAGAGATGACAACTGAAGTATTTCCTGCCTTGTGAAAATTTGGATATTACGTTGCTG